TCAGTCAGACTGCTAATGTAAATCTATGTGCCGCAAGTGGGCTTTTCCGAGCAGGTTTTCCAACACAGTTCCGTATTCATTTGTAATCTGCCCGCTTGTCTATATCATCAGCTTGAATTTGATAACCCAATATGTGACGATAAATGCGAATTATGAAACTTCTCAAGATACGGTGTTCTCCAGTCTCCTGCTATTTCCTCTGCCCAAGGTCCGAATTCTCCTCAGCACCCTGTGTTGAGACACCCTCATCTACCGTATTTACGCATGTATAGGCCGCACATTTTTTGCCAAAAATTCAAGAGGAAAACTGGGGTGCGGCTTATATTCGAAATATTCGAAATCACACTTCATTTAAAAAAAAAAATCAGTAATACAGGGTGTTCTACTCCTGAAATAATATTCCAAGAAAATTATTTTTTCTATAATTTCTGTCTGAACATTGTGCTGCGGCCTATACACGCACGCGGCCTATACATGCGTAAATACGGTGTTTCCTCTTTAAACTCAATCTACTGATATGGAATATTTTTAATCTAGTTAACATTTACAGAAATTAGACACATAGTTATGTCTTCAAGTAACAAAATTCTGAATAAAGGTAAAAAAATTTAGTAAATATAGTCGATTAGAAAATTTGTACAAGTCAATCCGTTAACAAGGAGTCGGGCTAGCTCAGTCGGTATAGCACCGGGCTACGGGCTGGACGACTGAGGAGTCGGGGTTTGATTCCCGGCAGGGGGGAGATTTTCCTGTATTCCGCAGCGTCCAGACCGGCTCTGGGACCAACACAGCCTCCTATCCAATGGGTACCAGGAACGATTACCCTGGGGTTAAAGAGGCCGGGGCGTGAAGCTGATCACTCATCTCCATCTAGTGCTAAGGTCAAGAAAGGTGGAGCTATACCTGCACGCCTCCATATGTTTTCACATCACAGTGCTTAATTAATGAAGGACGGGCACATCTTTTACCAGTCCGTTAACAGCGGGGGTTCTTATAAGCATAAAGTCGATTGTAACTGTTTTTCTAGACTTATTCCGCGAAGTCCGAAAATGATTAAAGTGGACAGGATTGATACATAACTTACAAAATGAACAGTATTCGACAAGGTGAAGAAATTACATAAATAAGCAAAGAGCAGAAAAATAAATTTAAGTTTACTGGAATGCAACATAATTGTTAATGAAGCTTTATTTTAATGTTAATGTACTGTCGCTTCCATAATATTTTCTACTTTATTCTTAGTGGAGCCAGGTGGCAAATAAAAACTCCGTGGCCTGTAGTCCGCAAGCAAACTATACCGACCGAGCGACCGCCGCTTTTCGGCGAAGTTAATGCCAACTCTAGCGGATAGAGGGTGTCGCGTGGTCCGTGCAACGGATCCCCACGGCCGTTAATCTCGGTTTTCTAGACCGGAGGTGGCAGATACATTTCAGATTATGTATCTAATCGGTTGCTGGCATAATCTGAAGGCACTGACAGAAAAGTTTACTTGCAGGTATGAAACACAGGCCCTTTTGACTACAAGGCAACTCGTATTTATTTGTTAATATCACTGTAACCATAGAGAAGTTGGTGTTATATTCTACCATTTATTTTCTTTTAACAAAACAATGCCTTCTTAAAATCCAATCGACACTTAATTTAATAATTCCATCAAGATTTATCTAAAATATAATTTCCTCCTAATTATGTTTCTAGCGTGATTAATTAAAAGTAATGAACCCTTAGCGTAGGAAATCTTCTTCTTAAGGTCATAATAATAGGGAACAAACTACTTGTGAGCACAAAACCATTTATCTTGTACCTTCCAAAATTATAAAACGTATCAGAGATGATCAGCCGGTCACGGTAGCGGAGCGGTCTAAGGCATGCACTGTCTTCGCTCGCTCGGAAGCCGGGATCGTGGGTTCGAATCCCACTCAGGGCATGGATGTTTGTGTGCGTTTTTCTGTGTTTGTCTACAGGTAGAGGCCTTGCGACGAGCTGGTCACCCGCCCAAGGAGTCCTACCGAATGTGTATGATCTAGAAAAACCGAAGTGAACGGAGAAGTTCATGGAGGTAGGCCTAGGCCCACTGGGGCTGTAGTGCCAAGGAAAAAAAAATCAGAGAGGATCAACAGGAACAATGCAGGATTAAAAAAACTCAGTCTGAAATCATTTTATCAGGTTGCACATTGAGAGAAGGCTGATTATGAACTTTGTCATGGGTACATGAACTCTTTAATTCAATCAGCCTCAGACTTCGATCCTGAAGACGCCATAAGTCTTGTTGGGAGGGAAACTAATGTTGAGAGTTTACGTATAAACCCAGTCCTAAATTTTATTTGGAATGGAACTTGAAGCCGCGTGATTTTGGGTTCCGCTCTTTGCCCTCTATGTGCAACATCGGTTGATATTCTCTCCTTGTGTTCTGTTTATGTCATGGAATGTATGTATAATAATAAGCTTTATTTTAGTCGATTGTAGTAATATATTTCTCGTTGTTTATTTACAGAAAAGCTATGTTTTTACTATGTTGATACCATGTACGTAACTGGTTTCCAGAAAAAAGAAGCTTGAGAATTTTAAAGAAAAATTACCTTTCTGAGATGAAAAAGTTTTTGATTGTTATTGGCTTCAGATATAATTATTTTAAAATATGTGCCATTTAGTCCAAATCCAGGCTAAACCAAGAAGATCGGTCACAGAAATTCTTGAATGATCTTTATTTATGATTATATGGCTTATTTATTCTCATATTCCGAGAATGTTTATATGTGTTAGGGTTAATCTGAACAATCTGAGAAAACTTATGGCGTCTTCAGGATCGAAGTCTGAGGCTGATTGAATTAAAGAGTTCATGTATTGTCGCCACGTCATTTTAAGCTGAAATATGTGTATTAAAGGTAATGAATATCACAGATGTGAAGTATGCTTAAGTTCTGTGACCAATTCCGTAAGAAATATCCAGATTGTTCAATGCTACTCGGTGATGAGTAAACGACGCAAGTTTTTTTCCCCCCACCGAATTTCTGGCAGGGTCAGAAATACAGTCCACCCTATTTTGCTGT